TTCAGCAGGGTCCATAGAAAAGCCACCTCAGAAACCTGAAGTCACACCCAGCACCCTTTAACAAACGTAAGATGTTCAGTACAAGAAACTGAGAGCCATTAAAACCACGTGCGGCATAAAGAGCAAGAAAGATCAAGACCTTTGCTGATGCTGTAGGCTGCTGCAGCACTAACAAGTAAAAGGCACTGAAATACGGGGTTTATAGTTCTCAAATCCCAAAGGACAATAGAAGTATACTTAATGAATGAAAAAAAACAGTAACACCTACTTGCTTTTATGCTTTGTTATTAAAACAAAACTATACAATCAAAATGTCAGATTAGTTCTAAAAACAAAACAACAAAAAGATGCTACTGGTAAGTTGCTAAGATAGTTCCTTTAAGCAATGTAGCTATACAAAGAACACCACTACTCAGTTTTTCATAGCTGGAAAATACAAGTATGAAGCAAAGCAAGCCCAGGCCACATATTAACAGCACAAGAGACATCAAGCTCATTGCTTACAAATTCTTCTCTCTTTTCCAAAAAGTACTGCTTTCTAGTGAAGGTTCAATAACACAATTCTCTTCAGTAAACACCATAGAATCACAGAATAATTCAGGTTGGAAGGAACCTCAGCAGGTCACACTCCCAAACGCCACAAAAAAATCTCAAAACCAAGAGGGAATGAAGCAAAAGGAAGAACAAGTATCAAACTCACCATGGACTTGATTGATTTCTGAATTCTGAGAAAGAATTTCATCTGCTAATTTTTGAGCAGTTGGCAAAACTTCTGTGTGGTGCACTGTGATCAAATACTGTACAAATTTTTGTAGTTGGTCTCTGTTCATTTGAAAGAGTGTCTCTGAAATGGGAAGATGCAGTTTGACCTGATCTGGCTTGCGGATCCGGTATAAAGACAGTGCCACAACGTGTGCACAGTAAAATATGTCCTTGTTTCCACAGCTACAGGTCACTGAGGTAATCTTGCAACGATCAAAGCTGATAGCTACATTGCAAACAGTTTCTGGCTCCGATTGCATTGCAGGCTCTGTCACTGTGCCACTCAAGTGGAAACCTGTGCAGGGGAAAAGAAAAGAGAACTTAATGAGATATTGTATTTTACTTACATCACCAAGAACCTTTCGTTAATAAAGACATCATCTATTTTGAGGAATTATATACCTTAAAGAACTTGCTTTAATTACAAATATTATTAACCCTTCCTTTCATACACACCCTTTTCATCTCCAATAAAATCAAACAGGGAGTAAAAAGCTAGTTTACAAGACCTCTTCACAATTCCATCACAACATTCATAAAATCTGATAGTAAGAAAAGCATTTATTTGGTTAATGATAGCTGCAGCAGAAGGAGAGCTGCATCCGATTAAGACCAATGTGAAACTCCTAGTACCTCAGCAAGTTGGCAGCAATTTTCCACACCCCCCACCAGGGAGCCTGCAGCGCCTACCAGCAAATTTAACCATTCCCTCAATAAGTAAGAGTGAAGTAGTGCACTCTAGTGGCATGAACCCAGGTCCTCATCTCACCTCTGCCACTGATTCACTGACACAAGTCACTCCACCTCTTTACTTTCACCTCTCCCACCACTGAGCTCGTGCTAAAGCTCACCTTCACCCAAGCGATCCTGCAGGATGGCTGGCTGCGTAGCTCTCTGGAGACAGAAACTGCCGCAGTTACCAACCCACAGGATATCACATTTACAATACTGAATGAGACACGTGTGCACTGTTTCAGAAGCCTGCGTTATGGTCCTGTTTTCCATTCAGCATAGTAAAGCACAAAGCAAAAGAGCTAGGTTTTCTTGTATTGTAAGAGGGTACGGTATACCATAACAAAGATGTTCACTTCAGTGAAGATGCCGCTAGTTGACACAGCACCCTGTTGAACCAAGGTCTCAAACTCTGAAGATCAGAACTTAAACCCACCCGTTTGCCCAACATGAAGGCCCTAGTTTGGCTCTCAATACTTCATCACTGAACAGCAGAATTTGGGGTTTTCTTTTGGATTTTACATAAAACATGACATGGATTTTGACTCAAGCATTAAGCCAGAGGGGCATAGATACAGGGCAATACAATTAGATTTCATATGCCATACCAGTAATAGACCTAAACAGACAGTGCATATAAAATCTGGGGTGGACACTACAGATAAGGTGTTATATATTAACTATTTATAATGGAAATAATATAAAACCACACTCCCTCAAAGTCCAAAACTGATTTAGTATTCTTGAAATACCAGAAAAGTATATTGCAAAAGCAGTATGACATGAAAATTGGGTGGGGAAAAAAGAAATATATACACAGCTCTTGTCCAAAATGTCATATCTCCAATTGTTTTAAAAAAGCTCTTCAGTTACAGGAAACAAAGAGGAAAATCTGTCATTTTTTCCATTTGTTTACACTGTACATTTCAGAGCAGGTTGTACAGTCAGCATCACTGTTTGGATTACATTCAGCTGCAGTACTCTGATACTCTATCCTGAAGAAGGTCATATGCACACAGTAACCTCGACTTTGCAAGAAGATGTTTACCAGTTAAAGTAGTTAAAAGTCAAGGCTGAAGAGGCAATAAGCTATAAAGTGCACAGTGAGGAATGGGGGTGGACAAACAAGCCCAGGCATACGCAGGTTCTTGCTCTTGCCTCCACTCAACACTTGCACAGAGAAGGGGAGCGGAATTGCCCCTCGTACCACAAGCTCCTCCCTCTGCATTTCCCTTTGGTTTTTAAGTAGTCACAGCATGCTCCTGTTAAGCACCTTCTCTCAAAAAGAGAGGCTTTGTTAAAACTTAGCCAGCTCTATTTATTTCAGGTTAATTCCCAGTAAGTGACAGTTGGATTGGTGGTCCCAAAGAAACTGCATGGGAGACTTTTCTTTTGAATATCACTTTCCTATGAAGCATACATAAAACAGTCTCTCACCTGTGAGCTGACAAAAAGCCCAGCACTTGAACACAGAAAAGGCCTCATCCCATGCCTTCCTACTCTCAGTAAGTACCTGAACTACTATTAATTCTAATACAAAAAGGCCCAAAAAAGATTTTCTATTAAACAGATTTTTTTTTTAAAAAAAAGCCCAACCAGCTACTCCAACAATATTATATACTGACAAATTAAAAGTGATAATTCAAGCATTCAAAAAAGTTGAAATCTTCCTGGAAAGATGAATGTCTCCAGAAATATTCAGAGTTCACAGCAGGCCTGCCTTTAAGTCCTCACACTGTTCAGACACAAACATGGCTCACTCTCCTCTCCACTGAGATTTTTTGAGAATTCATGTTACAAGCAGCAACATTTTTAAACACTGGTCCTGGTCTAAACAATGACAACACTAATACAGTCAACTTACCTAACCTATCCTTCTTAAATTACAGAGGGTTTAAACAAAAAGATCAGCTGCCCTTGCAGGCTAAAATGTGGAAGCTCTGTATTAACTACGCCACAATGATGTACTACGCCTGGTAATTATGAACCCCTATTTTCCTCCTCTTTTTCTGTTTGTGTTTTTAAAGAAATTGTTGTTAGTAAATATGACCTTTAAAAAGGTTTCAACACACCAGAGAAAACAATTCAGGAAATTTCAGCAAAGCAGCCCTGGTAGGGCTGTTACAATTTAGCCTACCAGACATGAAATGCCACCTTCTCCACTGCCCCAATACTGCAGAATACTCAACAGGGAAGGCGGTTCCCCTCCCACAGACACAGCCTTAATCTTTAACCTAACCATCTAATAGTCTCCAAATAAAGCATGAAAAGTTAGTAGCAGGTAAAAAAAAATGACGCACTGTGCTTTGCTAGAAAGCTTTCACCAGCAGACATTTATAGACTGACCGGAAAAGAGATGTTACATGCTCCTGGAAGAAGGCAAAAGGAATCACCTCTGTGGGAACTCAAAGATAATGACATTTCTCTAATAGATCCAAAGTAGCAGAAAGTCTCTTCAGCTAAAAGCTGCAAGCCCTCACTCCAAATAGGTATTTCCCTTCAAAGGGAAAATTCCTCTTTTACTCAAAGTTACAAACCTTCACTGAAAGCATTTATTGATTCCAAAAGCCCCCAAGAACACTAATGTTTCACTTTTAAACTAAAAAGCTCATTCATTATTATCTAAAGACAACAAAAGAGTTGCGGGCAGAAAAGCATGTGTTCACTACAGAAGCTATTTATAGAGCAGGCATGTTTCACCTTTTCCCTTCAGCTGCTGCAGTTTGAAATGTTTTACTGTTTTCAAACCAGCACGTGACCAGTAATTCAAGCTCCAGTGACATTTTCAATGTGCAGAGGGTTTGCATTCTGAAAAAAATGCGTTTAGAAAAGCAGCTGGAGCATTAAGACAATGTATCAAATGAAGCTCGTTTACAAAATGATTTTGCTTCTGTTGAACACTCACCTCAAACACACCGCAAAAATTACTTAACAGCCAAAAAACCAGCATTTTCAGCTGCTGTGCTTTTGGAAGGGGACTGTGCCAAAGTGCCATCAGGAGGAAAGCATCAAGAAGTCAGCGAATTTTACAAAGCAGTTTTTGCCAAAATCTGTTTGACAGCGTCCAATCCATTAACAAAAAACATTCTGGGACTGTAAAGCTGCCTGATAAATGAAAATTCACATTACTACAATGTAGCATTTGCCAGCACAAGTATATATGCTTGTCATAAAAAATAAATACTTTAGAATAAAACAAAAGAAACTTCAAACTGTAAGGCACTAAAGAGGAGAAATGACAGTGGCATGCAGAGAAGGAGCAGCAGGTCTGCTTTTAGTTACTCAAGTCAAAACCAAATTTTGAAATAGCGAGTTCCAACTAATCCAACGGGATAAGCTGCAAAGTACTGCACTAAATAAGCATCAATGACATCTCACAAGCTTAATTAATTTCTACTGTCACCTGGTGTTACAAAGCATCTTCCTCAATAAACCTATGTCCAAAGATGCATTTTAAAAAGATACAGACCAAAACGCACAAAAACTATCAGAACAAGCAGCCATGTAAAATGCTGGGGAGGGGAGGGTGGGCAGGAATTATGCTGAGATTATATAGTGGTGTAGTTCAAGGAAATCAAACAAGAGTACAATATAAAACTTGTAAATTAACTGTAAATAGAAATTCAATCTAAAATTTTAGACCATTGTTTCTTTTCTCTCATAGTTTAGAATTCAGGATTCTAAGATGTTCCTGTAGACACAGGAAAAAAAAACTAAAGAAAAAACCTCTCATTCAAGGGGAGCCGCATTCATTTGTGACTCACTCAACAATACAGCAGGCTATTGCAGAGTGAACTTTATCTGAAAAAATAATTCTCTCAAACTTTTTAGCTGCCTATTCAAAAATAACAGCAATATGACAGCAAAACAAACACATTACCGGCTTAAAAAATAGCAGGCTGTTCTTACAAACATACACAACAATAGTACTTTAACAAAATGTATTAAAAATGCAAACCTGCATTGCATATATTAAAAATATATTTGTGCTGTCAAGAATTCCAGTAGTTCAAAAAGAAAAAGCACTTTAAGTTCACACTTGCAATTGAAAGCTTTGATTGAAATTCAACCGTACATTGCCAGTGGGTATTGTTTATCATTTACAGAAAAAATAAAAAAATGTCAGAACTGGATTACAGAAATACCCTAAAGCTTAAAAAATGGTGCTTTTGAGTATCTTTCTGCCATGTACCTTTTGAGAACACCATGCATGCCTCATCCACTACGCAAACATTACCCTAAAATTAGGAAATATCCTACCAACTGTATTTGGAAAATGGATGTGTTCCTTAATATTGATCCACTGACCCTTTTCCCAAGTAGTTCACAAGAACCATATATATACTTGTAGTCAGGAAAACGCATGACCTGCTTTACATTCACAGAAGAGACTGGCAGATGAGGTTAGTTATAGAGGAAAAAAAAAAGGAAGAGCTTGTTCTAGGAGCTGGGGAGTGCTTCAGCATGCAAGACCTACACAGGTAACCTTCCCCTGCATCACTTTAGGTTGCTAATCAGATTCATACCCTCTATCTTTATCAGTCATTTAAATTAAGTTGCAGGCCTACCAGCTAAGATTCAGTCATACTACTATATTTCTTGGCAAACACATAATCACTGTATAAAGTGAAAACTACCTCTGCTTCATCTTTGCCTACAAACGACAAGAAATGCTTATGGAAAACAGTTTCCAGCTATGCCCATGAGCTATTTTTTCATAACTGAGATCAGTGGTTGCATTTTTTCCCCAGACAGAAAAAGTCTAAACCATGTTTGCCTCACTGAAATTTTGTCTTTTAAGAAGTGGGTTACCTTTAAGATGGGTAGTAGTATCTTACATTCAATTCTGTCTGAACTGTGCAACAGTCTAAAAACAGATCAACAACACAATTTGACATTATTATGAAGTCAAAGTTTTGCACGTCACCACTCAGCCTGAAGCTAATGTTCACAGCCTACTTATAAGCCAGAGAAAACATTGATTTAAAATGGAAAATACTTACCCATAGTACCTTAAACATGCCGGTACAAAGGTAATCAGGAGTGGAAAAAAAAAAAAGGATTCATTAACAAGAGCAGCACATAAGATGTATACTGCATGTAGTGAATGCACAGGGTATAGAAGAGCTTATGTTTTGAGAGCGCTGCCACCTAGAACAAAATTGGCATTACCACTCCACCCAAACTCTACCAGAGGATCCATCACAACCACCCGCCTGGAGTCCACAATTCCCTTTCATAAAGAGAATAGTCAGGTTTTGATATTTCAGGAC